TATTTTTCATACCGTACCTTGCCTATAGTACTGGAAGTACAAACACAGAAGGTCGAGAACCGGATCAACTTGAGATGGGAACTACAATGGCAGTTGCATGTATAACAATGGCTAATCTGTTCACAGGATTCAATGCTCAATGTTGGACGGTATTTCATTTTGTTGCGGTGTTTGGATCAATAGGGTTATTCCTGATTTACATTTGTGTTTATAGCTTAATACCAATTTCACCTATTGTTGGATTCATTGATATCATGTACACTTCAGGAACGTTTTATTTTTCCGTATTGGTAGCATTAGTTATATCGATTCTTCCCAGATATTTATACAAATACTATCAAAGAAACTATCGTCCAACAGATATTGATATCATTCAAGAGATATGTAAAAAGGATCCTACACATGATTTCACTAAAGATAAAAAACTTTATCCAACTCTTACGCTTACCAGGCAAACAACTCGCGATTCACGTAAATCAGTACCATCTCCAAGGCCTAGTTTTGCCACAGAGCATACAATGAATGTATCATTACCAGATACATTAACAACTGAATCACCAGCAACAGCAACAACATTTCCACCACCACCACCGTCATCACTATCAATATCAATATCACCGCCACCATATCAACAACAAGTAACAATAGCAGAAGAATTTTATAATGATCAATTTGAAATATGTGGTAGTATGACTAATATGGAAACAGGTTTAACAGAACCGATGCGTGGCTATGCTTTCTCACAAGAGGAAGGCTCTGGTCGTGTAATGCTTTCTCCGCAAGATTCTGTTGATTTATCACCTTCAGAAGAAACTGTTAATTTATCAGAGAAGTCCGAGAAATCCAAATAATTTTTTCTATATTTATTAATAATATATTGTATAAAATAAATTTTATTTTTTTACATCCAAAAACATAAAAAAATTAATTAATCAATTAGATAGATAACCTTTTTTTTTTTTTTAATGAGAAACTTTTAACAAATTTTAATCTACCTATTTTATTATTTAATCAATTAATTAATAATAATAAAACCATTTTTAAAAGGTTTTCGATAATTTGTAATTAAATCATTCGTTACAAATAGAGATTCCGTCAATGATTTATTTAGCGTTGGCCCAAAATGACGCCTGGATGAGCTTGTATAAAAGTTGAAAATACACTTTGTATAATTTTGAAAGTTATATGACTGTTTAATAAAGCTCAAATTTTTTTTTCAATGCGTAAATTAGCCAATCATATTTTCCCTCTAGTGTCACATGGAAAATTAGTAATTTCTAGAACATCAAGACTGTCTATATTAATAAATAAAAGCTCTTTACAATAAAAAAGTTTAACGAACATATTACAGTCGAATTCCTCCATTCTAAATGCACGGACTTCTCATTCCAAAGCTTATAGAGAGCTTATAAAATCTAATGCCAATACCCTTTCATTTTATGCTTGTTCCGTATGTTTTATGTGGAATTAAAAACATACCCTTTCATGAAAAGCACGGGATACGTACGAAATACACATTGGATGTATGTAGAAATACAAATCTCGTATGTATTTCGTGTCGTGTGTTCGTAGTTGATACATCATGTAATGGTAATGCATACTAATACGAAAAACGTACGGGAAATACGGGTTCTGTAAATTTCGTGTTATTATTATTTTGTGTGCATCCCGTCCGTACTTTTGTGCTTTTTCGCTGGAAGATTCCGTACGATAATTCCGGAAACATACGACGCATGCACTGTTTTTCCATAAACAATAATAGGGCAGAGTTTCACGAGTGTGAGAAAGTCAAAAGATTCTCCAAAAGTCGAAACCAGTTTTGACTTTTGACTTTTGATTTAGTTTTGACATATGACTTTTAATTTCAATTTTGAATTCACTTCTTTAAAATAGACTTGGGAACCAACACCGTAGGAATTGAAATTTTCTTTTGGTATTCAACATAAACTTTTATTATTAAAATTCAAAACCAGACAGGATTTCAGGGATCAAAAATTTTTAACATCACGATTGTATTACCACTGTAATGTGTGATGGATATTTGTTTTTCACCTCTTATATAGAATGGTTAATTTACATTAGATCCATTATGGAATCCAAGAATTATAGCACTGTTAGAAGTATTTTGAAGAAGAAACAAAGTGAAAAAATTGCTCCTTGTATCTACTTTTATTTTTATTTTAATTCAATCAATAATAGAAAAATACATAAAAATATAAAAAAATAGTGATTTGTGGATCTAACAATGGTACACATGTGTTCATATATAATTTTCAAATTTGGCCACTTATTATGTCAATTGCTGGTACTAGACTAGACGCACCATAGAATTGGGAAAAAATTTCCAAGATCAAATCATTATTGATGAATGAATGTCATTGAAAATTAGCAAAATTCATAAATTCTTGATTTGATGATACAAATAAAATTTCTAATTCCCAAATTAAATAAGCAGAGTTCAAACAGAAGTGGACAAAGTATTGGTGTAACCACTAGCAAATTTGATTTATTTCGGTTATTGTATTAAAACTATTATGATTATTATTTATTTGAATTGGTACCCAAAAAAAAAAAGATCACAATTCATATCTCTAAAAATGAATATATTAAAATAAATAAATAATTAATTGTAAAGAAATATATTCACAAAATTTATTAATAAATAATGTGAATATATAACCAGAGTTAAAATAAGAAAACTCACAGAATTTGCCAGTAAAACCTGGCTGGATACATGAGTATTAATTTAACATCTAAATCTATTATTATTATTATTATTAGTTGAATGGATGAATGCTAAAAATAAGAAAAGTCTTTTGAAAATCCTTGATTTAAAAATAAAATGAAAATTGTTTTTGATTAAATTAAAAATCCAAATTTGATAAATAATAAATACACAAAATATTATTATAATTGCTGATGAGTTTGTACTGCTGTAGTTGATGAGGATGATGACGGTGAAGATGGCGAGGATGGCGAGTCTATCATTGCTCCTTCTCCTGCATTATCATTACTGCCTTTAATGAAAGTTTCATTCGGTTCACTATTATTTTCTGCATCTGTTATTTGTGTCTCATGTGTAATTGTAACTTGTGTTTCCTGTGTGATTTTGACCTGTGTCTCTTGTATTTTTTGTGATAATTGTTGTTGTTCATTTGAATACACATCTCTTCTTAATCCGCCATCACTTCTGCCATCTCCTAAATTCAAATTCTCTATATCAACGTATGCCCTTCTATTCACAGAACTTTAAAAAATTCACAAGATATTATCAGTATTTATAGTATTAAATAGAAGTTGTTGTGAATAATATTTGGTGAAATAACAAACCTTCGTGTCAAAGGCCTGCAAAGTACCCAGAGACAATTTACAAACGTATTTTTATAAGAAAATGGATTTTTTGCACCATTCCTCCTAGCTGCCGGTGCACGAATCTACACATGTGTGCATGCATTAGTGAATTATTAAGCTAAATAAAAAAATTTAATGGAATGAAAATAAAATTACCTGTTCATGTGTTGTTAAATTTTTACTAATTAAATAAGTATGATAACATGTCAATCCACCAACAGACCACATCAAGAAAAACGCTAATACAGCCAACCCAAAAGTAAACATAACACATTAAGGTATATATATAAATGTCTTATAAAACGTACATGTATATTATATATTAATATTGTAAAAAAGTAAAAAAGGATATCTAACTGGTTCAGCTATTATAGTTTCAATAAATCCAATTTTCTTTTCCTTCGTCAGTAATAATAAATGCGTCAAGCAAAATCCTTGAAGATAAAGGCATATTATAGTTGCTGAAGCTATAAATGTATAAAATGTTCTGTAGTTTCTTCTTCCTATACAATTATTCAGCCAAATACAATGATGATCTTCATTTTCTATATAATTGAGAATTAAAGAATTAATTATAAATATTCATATAATTATGTTGAATAATAAATAAATAATAACATACCAACACAGTTATCACATTGTCGACAATGACTAGATCTTGGGGGTCTGTAAATTTTACATGTTTCACAATACTTTGATCTAATCACTTGTCCATTCACTCTAATTTCTTTAGGAAGCGAGACATAATTATTAGAATTATAAGCAGCATTGTTAGTATTACCTAGAGCTTCTGTTGATGGTAAAGGATCAAGATTACGTGGAATGATCTAAAGAACAAACAAAAAAACATTTAAATATATTTTTTAAGATTTTGTTTTTAAAAAATAAATCTACTTACACCAGGATCAGACCATGATGTTCTTAGCATACTTGTTAATGTTAATAAAAATAAATAGATAAACATAAAAATCACTGCCGGTGAAACGTTATGAAAAAGAAAAGGACAACTACACGACGATCGAAAAATAAATTAATTAATAAATTTCTACATCCTCCCAAAAAAAAAAATGTTTATGATAATAAACACTAACGTGAATCCTAAAAAAAGTCCAGATGGTATAACTAATGTTAAAACTGCTGTCGTAAATGCAAAAGAATGTCGACTTGTCATTATCCTTCCGCCCAAAAAAAATCTATTTCTCCCAGGCCATAATTGATAAAGCTTTTTCTGCTTTACTTTATCTTTATTGCTTTTTTTTGATTTTGTTGTTGGTGAAATGATACGTGGCATATGACTAATATCAAATTCATTGAATATATATTGTTGATCTGCAGATGTTGATGCAGGATTTTTTTGGGGCGTTAGTTTAGCGGAAGGAGGCATATTAGAAAAAGGATTATTATTAGAATTTTTCGAAAATATATTATTAGAGTTTGTTAAATCTCTGGTGGATGATGGATATGTTATTCCTGCTGATCCTGTACGAATCATTTGCGGTCTGTATGATGTTGGATCTAGTATTAAGTCCTGAGGAGACGGCTCGAACAACGAATCAATCGATGTCGATTGTTGTGAAGTAGGATCATTATCATAATCTTTTTGCCGTATTAGTAATAATGCACTTGGTGGTCGAACAGGAGTTGTCATCATGTGTTCTGGTGATGAATCATCATCAACGTTAAGTATTGAATCAATTGATTGGTCAAGTGTCGGATTGTGCGGTGATAATATATCTATGAGAAGATTTGAGGAAAAGGTGGTAAGTGCGATAGAAGAAGATAAATTAGATGGTGATGATATATCTTCTTCTAATGTATTTAAGGGATAATTATTATTCGCTGTTGTGATGGTATTTGCATTCTGATGTAAAGGCAATGACGTGGTGGTGACTTGGTTATTGTTGTTGTTGTTTTGTAGTGTGGGAAAAGAAGTTTTATGTCTAATTGAGGGATTTTGTGATGTCGGTTTTCTTGGAGCGAAAAAATGTTTTGAAGGTAAAATTCCTGATGCATGACGAGAGGTACGTGTCCGACTCATCTTTTATTTTATTATTTGAAATTTCTATATATAATCTATATATATATATATATATCTTTTATCATACAATTAATTGTCTCTTTATTTGTTAATTTACAAGATCTCTCATAAATAAATAATCTATTCACCTAATTATATTCTAATTTTCTAATAATAATAATTATTGATATTATTTAAAAGAAAGATAGGTAGGTAACTAAATAATTAATTATTAGAAACAGTTTTAATTTATTTAAAAATTTTTATAATTGATATAATAATAATAAATAATTATACTGCAAGAGCATAAAACTTTTCAGGGTAAAGGCCTTATCTATTTCAGGGTTAGCAATCAGAATACCCAAATTGCTAAAAAGAGGTAAATTAGACATTTGCACAGCTATATTACCAAAAAAGGTATATGGGACAGTCTGATCGCCAACCCTGACCTATTCCACAATAGGTTTATTTATTTGTATAAAATCGGTCATTGAAATTTTGAGCCCTGAATTTTTTTAGCTCGATCTTAAAATTTGTGTAATATCGTACATTAATTTAATTTGTTTAATTCGTTTACAAATATGTAGAAGAGTAATTCAGATAAATTAAATTAAAATTATTACTATTATTACTGTTATTATTATTTATTCCAGAGGAAAAAATTGTAACTAACGCTGCCTTCTACCACTAGTAGACATCAATATAAGTTTTTTCTTTTTATTTTTTTTGCCAAAAAATACTTCTTCTTCATGAAAATCCCAATTATTTTCTTCAACTTCATGGTTTTCTTCTTCAGCCGATGAATGTCTTCCACCAGCTATTCCAGCAAATGTAATTGCAGGAGTTCCCCAAACTGTTGTGCGTCCAGTATGCTGATTATTATTATCAATGTCTTTATTATTATCATTGGATTTGTCGGAGTCAGTGATACTATTACCACCACCACCATTATTATTATTATCATTGTTATTATTATTACTATCGCTTGTTTCACCACCATAAGAATATGAAGGTTGTTGAAAAAATGGATCTGAATCTATAATTTCTTGTTTAGATTCTTTGTTGGCTGCTTGATCTTGTAACCTTTTTTCTTTTCTAGCCTTTTCTTTGCGACGATTAAGACGTTGTTGAAGTTCATCTTTCATATCACGTTAATTAATAATATACAATTATTAAATATCAACAACAACAATAATAGATACAATCATTCTATCGAAGGTTATATATAGACAGACATACTTGAAAAAATTTTCAACGTTGAATCAGAGACAACACCTTTCAAATCAACCTCTAAAAATGTCACATCGCAACTCAAAGGCAAATGTCCCAAATATTTAAATTTTTTGCGAAGTTCCTATAAATAATAATAAAAAATTAATTAAAAAATAAAATCTTAAAACATCATTTCAATTATGATTATTGTACAATATAATTATTGACAAACAATTCTTTACTTCAGTCATTGTTGATTCATCAACACTTATAACGCGAAATGAAATCTCGTTTGGAAATTGTTCATATGTTCCAAACTCATATTTCAAAATACGAATATCCAATGGATGTAAATAAACATTTTGACCATCTTCCGACTGATAAAAATAGTACGCACTATCACTAGAAATTATAGGTTGTTGAGAATTAGTAGTGGATTTTGACTTCAGCTTATAATCTAATTTTGTTGAAGTCTGTAAATTATTGTGGTTTCTGGTGTATGATAATATTGATGATGATGATGACGATGATACAGGCGTTGAAGGTGGTGGTTGTGTTTGTGGTGTATCTTTAAATGTATTAGGCAACCAGGATGAGGATGAGGGTGATGAAGTTGATATATTAACTTCATTTTCACTATTTTGAAAATCCTGAGAATTTACTATTGGCGAGGATTTTTGGTCAGTTTCAGGAACCGTAGTGGCGGTGGTAATGAGATCTAAAAGCTTTGATTTATTAAACATCTCAATGGCTTGTTGCTCTACCTCCAAAAGATGAACCGTCGAATATGATTCTTGAAGCAATGCTAATTGATCCTACATACAAATTATAACAGTAATGATAATTAATAGTATATATGTTAATTAAAATTATGTATGTAACAATTATAACATAAATAGCCAAGAAAAATACCTGGGTATTAACAATAGCAATCTCAAGAAATGGAATTTCATCATGATAACTTAAAATTTTGGCCTCGTTTAATGTTACATCGAGTTCTTTTAAATCTCGATTAAACTCTTCTTGCATATAATCAAAAGAAGCAAGCATCAACTTAGAAAATACCAGCGCATTTGGAGTGAAATGCCATGGTGCAGAAATATTGGTATTGATAATAGTATTATGATTTGATGAATCATAATTTTTAAATAGCCAATTTCTTGATCGTGGGAGTGCAATAGTAGAATTCTATTGTTATAACAACAACAACAACATCATTTATTACTATTATTATTATTATCATCATCATCATCATCATCATCATCATCACCATCATTGTTAATTGTAAATATAAAAAATTTTATTTATAAATTTACCATCTGTCTTTGGATTAATCGCATATTGATTGTTTCTTCCCCCTCGATTAATCCAGCATAACCTACTTTACTAATAGTCCTAACAGTCCAAAACCTTACACTTTTAAGATCTTTTGCATATACAGAATCCCAACATATTGGACATTTACGCCATTTTTTACTCGATTTATTATTGTTGTTGTTATTACTATTGCTATTAATAGTACTGGTACTGCTATTATCATCAGTAAATTGTAAATAGTGGAGAATGCAAGCGAAACAATAAGTATGACCACATTTAGTTACGCGAGGAGCAGTTGGTTGTTGTAAACATATTGGACAACTGGGTGTACTATGAGTAGTAATAATCTAATTTTTCAAATTAATCAAATTAATTAACAAATGACTAATGAATTAATTCATTGATAAAAAAAAATAGTTATATTATTTTACCACTTGTACTATATCATCCCAATTAAGTAAAATATCTAATGTATAATAATTTAATTATTAATTATTTTTAGTATGTATATATTCTATATTTGAATATTTTTTTTAAATTTACCAGGATCAACTAGATAAACAGTATAATCTCCAGTTGGTTTAATAATAAATCGGAAGCTTGAATACATTTAAAAAATAGATTTTAGTTTTTTTTTAAAAAATATTATATATAAAAAGAAGATGACTGACATACTTGGCATTTACAAAACGTTCTTTATTGTAAGGTTGATAATTGGTTACTCTCTGTCTTCGAGGTGTATGGTTAAAAGATTGTCTTGGTGGAAAGGTAAAGTTCAAAAGGTGATTAAGAGATATTTGACCTCTCTTATTAGGTGTACCATACAGCTAAGGAGAAGTAAATAAATGCCAAACATACAAATAATTAGATTTAGTTATGAATCATAAATGTTTAACTGCAAGAAACATACTAATGGATCCGATTCACTAAGTGATAAATCATTTACTGCAGAGCTGACTATTTCTACCGATGAATCAACAGCTTCTTCTTCTATCTGATCAGATTCAATATCATCAACAGATGGAGGAGAAGTCTTTTCAATAGAAACACACCATTTCACCATAATGATGAATTAGAGAAAAAACTGCTAAAAAGATTCGGTCCCTAACATGGGATACCGATGATCCTTTCTAAAAAAAAACATTTATTATTATTATTATTATTCAGTCAGATTTTTTCCAAGTTTGGAAATCTATTCTAGAAATTTTTGTTGATCAATTCATATACGTTACAAATGAGTTTAGAAAACACTCCCGCGTTATGTTATGTCGTTTTTTTTTTGATATATAGTTTCATAATCCCCAAAGCAATGTAGTTTTTTAAAACTTGAAATTGTGATTATTTTTTATTTTTTCATATATAGAATCATATGTGTATAAATTATAATGACAAATACAACACTCAAACCAAAAAATTTACCATGCTTATTTGAAAGTCTTGTTGAGAGATATAAAAATTCTCTTTTAGTTTAGTGTGAAGCTGTGGAGAATCAGAAATGGCGTTTTGCATCAGGAGAAAAATCAATTGAAAGAGCAAAAACTTTTGGCTAAGCATTTTCCTGAATTATTTTTATTACTTAATTCTTTGGAAAATTATTTTATTGGGCATTTAAAAAAGACAGATAATTCAAGTTCCTCATCTATCATAAAAGAAAATGAACAAAAAAGGCCTAAGCTAACTACTGACAACAATGCAATCGAAGCTCCCATTTATGAAATTTTGAAAGATGATGAATTTGAGGGCAAAGGCAACACTAATCTTGTATTTGAATTAGAAGATGTTAAAAAACAATTAATGCAGTCAGAAAACAATAAATATATTACATAACATCATAAAAGATTATGAGCAAAGAATAAAGAAACTGGAATATCAAAATGAACAATTAGTATCAGAAATAATAATTTGAAAAAAAAATGGAACAGAAAATTTGATGATCAAGCAATAAGAATTGAATGATATCATGAACTTAATTAATGATAAAAAAATGATTTAGTTTTGATAGCCTTTTAGAGTATTCTACTTCTGAATGGCTTTCTAAACAAAATCCAATTGCTGTTAAGTTTCTTGAAGCTTTCATATTTCATGATGATGATGATCAATTTAAAGAGGAAAAGTTATTCAAATGTGCTATGACAGTTGAAGCCATTTATGGGCAAGGCATTTTAAATATGTTTCTGCTATAAATTTAGCATCATCAGCAATCAAATATTCAATAGCCAAATCAAAAAAACTATAGATGTTGATAACCACTTCTTAAGTTCAGGTGGTTATAACAAATTTATTCAATGGCAGGAAAATTTAGCTGGTGAATTTTTACCATTTCTAAATGGTTTAGTATTTTTTGGCATTTGATAATCAACAAAAGGGTCAGAAAAAATCATTTAGACCGTGGTAACTTTTCATGTTGCTACTAGTTTCCTTTCATTTAATTTTGATCCTACTGATCAAACAAAGATGATTGGGGCACCTTGGTTGTACCAAAAGTTAGATTCATTACAAATTCAAGAACTTTTTAAAATCACACCAGATATGCAAGCATTACTTGATAAAGAATTTCAAGATTATCTATCTGTTATCTTAGCTGATGCATGTAGAGAAAAAAAAGATCCTATAGATAATCTTATTTTAAAGAGTTCTACTATAGACAAACAAAAAAGGTATATTAAATGTGGTATAAAGGAAATTGAAAATTCAAAGTGTAAATGTCCTCAATGCAATCAAAAACTTTATACACTCACTGAAACCCAACTAAGGTTGCTTGCCGAAACTCCTACAGAAATCAATCAGCAGGGTTTCAGCAGAGTTTCATATTTTGAGGTTTCGCCATTTTGGCATAGTTTCAACAGGATTTTTGATAAGATTTAATATAGTTTTGCCATGGTTTCAGCAATTACTAAGGATGTTTCACCCACAACCTTAGACCCAACAAGAAATTCAAGAAGATAATCAATCAATCTTTGAGACAAATACCACCAAGCCTTTAAAATTCAAATTATATCCAAATAATACCAATATCTCTAATAACACAATAAATACAATCAGCATAACTCAAAAAGCATTACCTCAGGATGGTATCAAGGTGCCTGATATTTCTGTTCCAGGCCCTTTACAATTAAATCCCAATTCAATTGATAATGTTTGTAAAGTTTTAGATCACATTCAAGAAATTAGTGATATCAACAGATGTGAAAGAAAATGAATTACAATGGCTTTTAATGGTGTTCCATTCAATTATGCACAAAAAATTAAGAATGATTACCCAAAATTCTCTTGATACCTGGATCACTTCATGAAGCAATGAATAAGCTACAAGCATAATTATTTCAATTATTAAATGTTAAATGATTTATTTTTAAAAAAAAAATAGTTTCTACATGCCATCATCTATAATGAAATAATTTTCATAGATTTTTACTAGAAGCAAAGAGATTTTAAATAGTAACTTTGCTTTATTTAAAAAAAAAAAACTTCCAATACAATCACATATGAGACTCTACCATTAGATGTAAAACCAAGCATAGATTGTTGTTTAAACATGTGCCATCTCTGATAGTCAATATCTGCAGAGTTTACTAAAGAGGTATTCCTTTATGATATTATTAAACTATTTATTAAACTATTTTTTTATATACAATTTAATTACAGATAAGTATTTATTACTCTATTATGAGTAAAGGCTATCATTTATATCACAAATTTAAGACTGTAGGTAGATGTAACATTCTTATTCATATCTATCTATTAATACCTGTTTTTATTAATAGTTATACATGCAATTAATTATCTGAGTGCAATATAATATGGTGAATGGATATGGATATACTGACAAATATTAATAATAAATATTATCAATTCATAAATAGAACATTTATACAAATTTCTTTGTCTAATGTAATTGCATCAGATGTAATAATGGCACATTAAAAGTAGTAGCAGTAACAATAGCGGTAGAATGAGAATGAGATGACAGTGGTAGTGGTAGTGGTAGTGATAATATAAGAATAAACTCAATTTTTTGTTCGCTGTGATCAACGTTACACATTACATATAAATCTTGATTTTCCCTAAAATTTTCTAATTTTGGTAAAAACCTAAATTTCATTTTGTCACAACATAACATGCCAAAGGAATGATGAACCAGAAAAAGCACAAACAAGCAAAATACGAGAAAGTAACCCAACATCAACACAATGTAACAGAAGAAAATAGATAACAGAATATTGAACTTTGAATCAAGACTTTCATCTTTTTGGGTGAACACACCAACACTGAAAGGGAATTAGGTGACATCAGAAATTTATAAATCAACAAAAAATAAAAATAAAAAATAAAAGTGAGTGGATTTATTAATACTATAAATAAATCGAAATTATTCTTTTTTGATACATTAGACATAAAATATTATTCACAATAACTAGTCAGTGATTATCTAAATTATTGTTTTGCTGTTTATCCAGGAATCAAAGAAAACTAGAATGATCAGGATGGTGGTAAAGATAATGATGGAATATAAACTTAATGGTAAAAATCTAATTTTATTTGAAACTTTTTTTCTGATAATATTCTATATACACTAAGTCACCTAAAATAGATTAGAACATAGTTTGTGGAAACTAATTGCCAATTCAGTAAAAAATAAATGGTATTGAGGAATTGAAGGATTTTTTAACAAAATGGAATAGAAATGACAAGAATTGTATGTTGATGTCTGATAAATTAATGGAATATCATATGAAGCTACTATTAAACTTGACAAAAGTTTATCAATATCTTTACAATTATCATTTAAATAATGATGGCAACAATAATAATAAAAAATTAGAGGCAAAATTAGTGAGAAGATTTTAACGCCTGTAATTCAGAATTTATTTCAAAAAAAAAGTACAGATTTGGATCTCTTTTTGTAAGTAATAAATGACATCATTTTAAATATAAATTGCTTATTTTAAATGATCATCAGATAAATATGAATTTTTATCTATTAAGTGGTGAAGTATGCTTATTTGCATCAGCTGAAGATGCTGATTTAAAAAAGAATGATGCAGAAGAACAAAGTTCTGGACGAAAGATTGATGTTGTCTGAGCAACAAAATCTGCAAAAATTGAGTTTGTCATTTCCAAAGTTAGTGGACCTCCTAATCAATGACAACACACATTTTTTCACTGATAAAATAAAGATTGGAAAATAATGTTAAACAGAGTAATTTGAGTTTACGGTGGAGATAGTTCACTTTTCAATTTGTTGAAACTTTATGGCTTGCAGATATATGGTAAATGTTTTCAGTATTAATGACAATCTTATATTTTTTGTTTTATTAATTTTTAAATGATTGTAGATCACAATGCAATTGTGTACAAAATGACTGTACCGTTTCGAGGATTATATGTATTTAGAGAAGTTGTACAATCACAATTACCAACTAGTCAAATCAATATAGTGCTGATGCGTCAATGCATACCAATGTTTCTTTTATTTAATATTAAGGTATACATCCTTATTTTTCGTTGAGACTTTTTTTTCAATTAATTCTTGTATAATAACTAAATTTATTGTAATGTTTATAGGAAATGCTTCTAGAAAGTTTAAATAATTTACACGAATATATCATGGAAGCAGGTTTACACATGTTACCGGAATTAGATTTGGACGCTCTTTTGGCCGAATTTAACTAATTCCGAAATTCTTAATTTTTATTATAATTATATTTTATTTATTAATTATTTGTATAACGTCGTAATTTATTTAACTTATTCAAGAAAGAATCGTCTTGGGATATCCTCGCAATTTTGAGATATCTTCACAATTTTGGGATGTTAGAATTACTAATTAATTGAATTGTATATAAGAAACTTGAATTCAATGTACTTGTAAATTAACTTTCTCATAAGTTAATTAGTTTCGACTAAGAAAACTAAATAAATAAAATAGTAATATTTTATTTAAATAAACTTTCATCTTCTTTAACCAAAATTATTCGCTAATACCAAAATCAATTCGTTGATCCCCTATTCATTCTGATCCACGCGAAAACAAAAAATAATTGTTATCACCAATTAAAATACGCTCTCCCAAATTTAATCGGTGACAATAATAAAAATGGCCTGAAAAAGATTTCCTTTTTGGAACAACAGTTGGTTAGCAAGTTTTAAAAGGCTTTCACAAATAAGAAAAAAAATTGGCAAGATTTCAAAAAGTTTTATATTAAAAAAAAAATTTATTTTATTAATTTTTTATTTTAAACAATAATAAAAATTTACAAGCTATTCTAATTCTAAATCATTTTTTGGTGCATTACCACACCGATCTTTTCCATAATTAATATAACAATTTTTGTAATCATCTCTTCTTGGAATATGTTCCATTGCATTAATTGCAGAACTAATAGACATAAAGTTCACAAATCCACATGATGATTCTTTGACAAGATTGATAAATTCTGTTTTGCCATACTCTTCAAAGTCTTTGCGCAGTTTTTCCTCAGTCACTTGTTCGTCAAGTTTTCCAATATAAATATTACGAGAAGCACGTCTGGTATTCACTACATATTTTATTAATTTTTTATTTTAAACAATAATAAAAATTTACAAGCTATTCTAATTCTAAATCATTTTTTGGTGCATTACCACACCGATCTTTTCCATAATTAATATAACAATTTTTGTAATCATCTCTTCTTGGAATATGTTCCATTGCATTAATTGCAGAACTAATAGACATAAAGTTCACAAATCCACATGATGATTCTTTGACAAGATTGATAAATTCTGTTTTGCCATACTCTTCAAAGTCTTTGCGCAGTTTTTCCTCAGTCACTTGTTCGTCAAGT